CGAACCGTGATAGAAATCATCGAGAACTCCTTGGAATCCGTTTGCACATAATCAAGCTATCAGAACCGAATCTCTCAAACTCAACCAAGCCATGCAGTTGCCCAAAAACCCATGAGCATTACCACGAAACACCTGTGGATACTCACCACATCATAAGTACCCAAAGAACCGATCATATCATTATTGTGTTGATCCAATTTACTATCAAATCGCCATGTTTCCTCTGAGTTCCTTCCAAATTACTCTCAAGTTGATACCCCTCCTTGCAAAAACACCATGATCCTTACCCTAAAGCTCGCCATAAGAGATTCTAGCATAAAACCCACACCGCCCTAAGGCCCATAAGCTGCTGCATTCCCTCTTAGCACCCCAAAGTACCACAATCGAGACACCCACTCTGAAGAGACCTTCTGTGAATCTAAAGTTGTTTCCTCCACCACTTAGTCTTCCAGATACTGTAATACATAATCCACAATGATATATAAATACAGCGATCCTCGACACCATCCAATGTAAATATTAAACTCTAGCCACAACTACTATGCCACCACTTAATCTTCTTGAGTCTGAACTCATCAATAAGGCATGAGAATAAAATCCGTTCCACAATTAAACAACATGGAAAACCTTCCAACACACTCATAACTCGGGACTACATGTCACATCGAGACAGAAATCAAGCACCTATCAGTCCTTTTTACACCTCAAGAGGACTCTTCTCTTCACATTCAAGTCATCCAAACATAGCCCGCAGTCATATCCTACTCGTTATTTAGTCATCCAACCATAATGTGATTAAACACTTATTTCTCATATGATGAAACTTTATGAATTTACACTTGCTAAGGCCAAAGATGCCAAACAATTGATTAAAAGGGAACTCTTTTGTACATATTATTATCATTTTGGGAACTCGAGCTGTGGCATCATGGTTAGACCTCCACCCGCATACGTTGGGGAGAGGCGGTGCGGCCGCTTTGTGTTGAATTGTGGTATTGTTATTACACCTCCACCCGCATACGTTGGGGTAAGGCGGCGGGGCCGCTTTGTGTATAGTTGTGGTATTGTGAATACACCTCCACCAGCATACATTGGGGTGAGGCGGCAGGGCCTCTTTGTGTAGAGTTCTGGTATTGTGATTGCACCTCCACCCGCATACATTGGGGTGAGGAGGTAAGGCCCCTCTGTGTAAAGGTAGTTGTAGCGCATTCCCGACTTGAAATTTATAAGTGTTATTGGAAGTTCTTAATAAATTTGTTTTGACTTTTATTGCTACATAAGCCCTATGACTGTTACCATGATTCATCATATTCATGTTGTATTTCCATGTCCTTGAATAGGTATTTTGGTTTTCATACTAGTACTATTCGACATGTACTAATGTCCATTTTGTCGGGGGCGCTGCATCTTTAATGGATGCAGTTGGCTCCACAACGGGAGGCATTGACCAATGATAGTGGCTCCACAGCAGGAGGCATTGACGAGTGATATCGGTACACTTTTTCTTAGCTGACTTGATAAGCCCCACTTCATTCCGGGGTTGTGCATCTTTTATTATGTGTGTATTATATTTTGAGGTATAGTCGGAGCCTTATTGCCAGCACGATCATTGTACTCTTTTATATCTATTAGAGGCTCCATAGACATAGTGTGGGTTGTGTATTAGTGTGGAAAAGTTAAATTAAAGATGTCGTAATTGTATCTCATGCTTCCACTGTAAAACTATGGTTGTGAAATGTATTATTTTGGAGACTTATAAGTGAAGTAACTAATGGTGATGGAACTAGTGTTGTTCATGAACCCTCGTCGTATTAATTAATGATGTTTATATTCTCTTTATTTATGGGTGAGTTGGGTAGAAGAAAATCTAGCAGGCTTTCTCGGCCGGGTTACCTCGGTTGAGCGCCGGTCATGCTCCTCGAAGCCGGGCCGTGATAGTGCTTTAACTTGGTATTCTTTTTTATCTGAGCATTCCATTGATTCTTTTAAAATTCTTGCAGATTCTTTTATAAATCTCATGATGGAGCAAGAAAGGTCCAAGCAAAGAAGGAGGTATATTCAGAATAGCCTAGGAGAATCCAAACTATTGGAAGAGTTTGTAATCTGATTTCAGATTGAAAGGATGTTGTTGTCGGTAGTACCAGATGAAAAGGCAGCGAAAGAATTTACATAGGGTCTCAAACCATTTATTTCCAATGTCTCTACGAAACTGAAGAAAAGCTTGCTAGAACCTTAAGCAACCACATGGGCAGATATCCACAATCGCTATGAGTCAAAGTTTAGAATAGAAAATGATCAGCAAGGTTCCTCGGTGTCTTCAAAAAGACGCAATCGAGATTGGAATCAGGATATATTTAAAGATGATGTTGATACAGATTAGAGATCTTCTAGAGGTCATTTTCAGCATTACGAAATGGGAGAGGAAATAAAGGTTATCAGTCATCAGATATATTTGCTTCCGATAGAAGAACGGATCATGGTCGGAGTAGCAGAACTCTGCAGGCGAAAGAAGCATTGCTGTCCCGAGACTCAACATATCCCCGATTATCCAACTACAACTTTAACATTAGTTTGGTAGAACTAATGTCGGTTATGAGGAACATAAAGGAGGCTAATTTTCCTAAACCAATTCGATCGGATCCTAGCCAAAGGGATCTCAATCTGTGGTGTATGTTCCATGGAACACATGGTCACAGAACTGAGGATTGCCGCCACCTTCGTGAACAAGTGGCTACATTGTTGAAGAATGGTCACCTCAGAAAATTCTTAAGTGATCGGGCCACGAACAACTATGGAAAAATCGGGATGTCTCAGAGCTACCAAAACTGGCAGGGAGTCGCCTCGTATGACTATAAACATGATCATCGGTAGAGATGAATTAAATGGGGTGACATTTTTGGTAGAAAAGAAGACGAAGATATCAATAACTCATGGCAAGAGGATCCGAGAAGTTTCAGAAGATGACATCACCTTTACATAAGAGGATGTTGATGGACTTCTTTTACCGTACAACGATCCTCTGGTAATTTCTCTTAATGTTTTATATTTCAAAATTAAACATGTGTTGGTTGATCCATATAGTTCAACCAACATCATACAATGGGGAGTTTTGGAGCAATCAAAGTTAACCGGAAACATAGTTCCGGCAACAAAGCTTCTGGTCAGGTTCAACTTAACGAATGTAACGATCCGACGAGAGATTTTACTCCCAGCGCATGCCGAAGGAGTAACAAAGACCACCATGTTCAAAGTGGTAGATAGCTACATGGGATACAATGTGATCCTTGGAAGGCCATGGATACATGAAATGAAGGTTGTGCCTTCAGCATATCATTAGATGTTGAAATTTCCCACACCGAAAGAGGTCAAGCAGATCAGAGACGATCAAATGACTTCAAGGGAGATGAATGCAGTAACAGTGTCCAGTAGCAAGGGCAAGGAAACAAGCAAATAGCAATTACAGGAATCAGTGCCTTCTTCTACTTTGATTGAATATAATAAAGAAGATGAGTCATCAGAATTTTATCAGGTACCCAGATCTTTTCAGGTACCGGAGAAAATGGATACGACCAAATCAACTGCCGAACAAGTGGCCTTGTTTGAGGAGGTCTAAGAAAGAAAGTTTCACTTAGGTATAAAATCTAATGTCGATTGTGTTTCATGATCTCATTCAGATATGACAGGTATTCCATTAGAAGTGGTTGTCCACCAGTTGAGTTTGGATCCTAACTTCCCTCCAATAAGACAGAAGAAATGACTCATAGTAGAGGTCAGAAACAGGTTTGTCAAGGAAGAGGTAACCCAATTACTAAATATAGGTTCTATTCGGGAGGTAAATTACCCCGATTGGATAGCTAACTTAGTGGTAGTACCTAAAAAGAATAATAAATTTAGAATGTGTGTTGACTATAAAGATTTAAATAAGGCATGCCCTAAGGACTCTTTCCTATTGCAGAACATTGATCAAATAATCGATGCTATGGTTGGGCATGAGTTGATGAGTTTCCTTGATGCATATTCCGGGTATAATCAAATTAGGATGCACTCGAAAGATCAAGAAAAGACTTCATTTATCATAAATTTTGGCACATATTGCTATAATGTGATGCCTTTCAGGCTTATGAATGCCGAAGCCACTTACCAGAGGCTTGCTAATAAGATGTTTGAACAAAATATTAGTAAGACAATGGAGGTTTATATTGATGACATGTTGGTTAAGTCTTCCAATGAAGGGGATCATTTAAATCATCTCCAAGAAAACATTTGACATTATGAAAAAATACAACACGAAGCTCAACTTAGAGAAATGTTCCTTTGAAGTTGGTTCCGGTAAGTTCCTAGGGTTTTTGGTCCCCCAAAGAGGAATCAAAGTAAACCTCGATAAGATCAAAGCCATCTAAGATATCTCTGATCAGTTAACCAGTGTGAATGAGGTACAAAGGTTGACCAGTAGGCTAGCGGCCCTAAGCAGGTTTATCTCAAGGTATTCGGAGAAATGCCATCATTTCATTTTACTGTTGAAAAAGAATGACTCCGTGTGGACTTCAGAATGCCAACAAGCATTGAAAGTCTTGAAAAGGTACATGTCTAGCCCTCTTTTTTGTCAAAATAAGAAGATGGTGAACAATTGTTAATTTATCTGGCGGTCTTGGAAGTAGTGGTAAGTGTTGTTTGGTCAGAGAGGAAGAAGGTACAGAATTTACCGTTTATTATGTTAGTAAAGTGTTATCGGGAGAGGAGACATGGTATCCGCACCTTAAAATTTTGGCCTAAGATCTAGTAGTTATCTCTCAAAAACTTAGGCCTTTTTTTTTTTAAATTTTATCCCATAGCCGTTGTGATAAATTTTCCCTTGAGTAATGTCCTTCATAAACCCGAACATCGGGTCGATTACTAAATGGCCAGTTGAAGTTAGGGAATTCGACATTGAATACAAACCCAGTACTGCGATCGAGTCATAGGTTTTGGTCGACTTTGTGGCGGACTTTAGTCCGGGGTTGATGCCTTTAGCTGCTAAAGAGGAACTACTGGTATCAGGAACGATATCAGGTGTTTGGACCTTGTTTACAAATGGAGCTTCCAATGTAAAAAGATCTGGTCTCGGGATAGCTTTAATAACTCTTTCGAGAGAAACCCTGAGACAAGCCATTAGAACTGTGCCATTAACTAACAATGAAGTCGAGTATGAGAATTTGGTTGTAGGACTTGAATTAGCTTGGGGACTAGGCTCTGAGATGATCCAGATAAAATGTGATTATTCTCAAATAGTAGTACATCAAGAGTACGGAATTTTCGACACCAAGGAGGAACGTATGCAACAATACTTGAATAAGGTCCAAGTATTGCTTTCTCGATTCAGGAAATGGTTGGTTATACATATTCTGAGGGAATAAAACGTGGAAGTAGACAAACTGGCCAGTTTAGGGTTGTCCACGGAAGTTAAAAGATCTGATTCCGATGCGGTAGTTCAATTATTGCATTCGGTGTTAGACGTGGATGGCTATTATGAAGTTAATTCAACCAACCTAATTTGTGACTAGAGAAATGAGTTTATAGAATATCTAAGGCATGACAAATTTCCTGAAGACCAAAAAGCATCCTAGGAACTACGGTCTAAGGAAGCTTGTTACTGTCTTGTTGACGGTCAGTTGTACAAGAGGTCGTTCCAAGGATCACTGGCTCCGTATTTAGGGACAACGGAGGCTGAATACGTGATGAGGGAAGTTCATGAAGGAGTGTACGGGAACCACTCCGGTGCAAATTTGTTGGTTCTAGAATTGATAAGGGCAGGTTATTATTGTCCTCGGATGGAGAAGGACGCGAAAATATTTATTTAAAAATGTTAGCATCATGCACAATTAGTACATCAACCGGTATAACTTTTACATTCGGTGGTGTCACCATGTCCATTCATGAAATGGGGGATGGACATAGTTGATACATTGCCACAAGGACCCAGTAAGGTAAGATTTCTTTTGATTTTAACTGAATATTTTACTAATTGGGGTGAAGTAGGTGCTTACCAAAATATCGTAAAATGAGAAGTGGTTGATTTTATATGGGATCACATCATCTGTCTGTTTGGAGTACCAAAAGAAATTGCTTATTATAGTGGGCCATAATTTATAGTTACCGAAGTCACAAAGTTTTTGGAAGGAATGAAGATCAAATGGATCACATCTTTACCATACCACCCAAGTGCTATCGAACAAGCGGAGTCATCGAACAAGATAATAATTCAAAACCTTAAAAAGAAGTTAGAGGACTCTAAAGGCAAAGGGCCAGATGAGTTACCAGGTGTATTGTGGGAAAATCGTACAACGGCAAAATCGAGCAAGGGTGAAGCACCATTCTCACTTGTGTACGGTGCAGAAGCTTTGATACCGATGGAGATTGGGATTTAACCCTAAGATATTCCCGAGAAAACGAGGAGACAAATACTGAAGCATTGCTAGTTAAACTGAATTTGCTTGAAGAGCATCAGAATCTGGCGTATGTAAGGATGGTGGCAAAAAAGCAAAGAATAGAAAGATATTACAACCGTAGAGAAAATCTTCGATATTTCAAAGTTGGAGATTTGATAATGAGAAATTTAACTCAGAGTACTCGGGAGGTTAATGCTGAGAAGCTGGGGCCAACATAGGAAGGACCTTACCGAATTTCATCTATAGCTAGTAAAAGTTCATATCAGTTGGAAAAATAAAGATAGTGTTGAATTGCCAAGCAATTGGAGCGTGACTCACATTAAAAGATATTATTGCTGAAGATCCTTGCTGATACTGAAAGTATGCGCTACACTATTTTCCCCTTCATCCAGCTTTTATCCCAATTGGTATTTTTGCAAGATTTTTAATGAGGCAACAATGAAAAGCATACTACGAAGAAAGGATCATTGGCGATATCAAAATCTCCAGTGTTCGAATTCTCATACTTAGCATCCGAACACTGGGGGTAACCATTACATACTAAGGCACTAAAAGTGTGACGAAGACCGGGGACTGTTAGAATCGGGATCTATGTCTTACCAGGATCGGGGACTGCATGATCAGCTCTGAAAAAATAAGTTGTACATGTTAGCCATATGTATTGGCAACTTTATGTACTTAAGCAAATAAATGTTTATGTAAATGTACTTTAAAAATAGAGGGAATAAATTAAAGTCCTTTTATTTTTATCTTATTTCTTGTCCGAATGATAAGTTCATTTATTTATTCGTTTGAAAGTTAGTTAAAACTTCAAATGCTTGTGCCGGAATGAACATGAGACGTACTCTTCAAGAGCACCGTAAACATAAGGGCCATCTCTTATGAAACCCTCATAGTCAAAGGGTGGATTCTAGAAGTGTGAATGCCTAAGATCAAAAGCTATCGGATGAGAAAAGATCTCCTGGTATCGGGGACAATATCAGGTGGCTGTACCTTGTTTAAAATGGAGCTTCCAATGTAAAAGAGTCCGGTCTCGGGATAGTTTTAGTAACTCTTTCGGGAGAAACCCAGAGACAAGCCATTAGAATTATGCAATTAACTAACAATGAAGTCTAGTACGGGAATTTGGTTATAGGACTTGAATTAGCTCGGAGACTAGGCACTGAGATGATCGAGATAAAATGTGATTATTCTTAGCTAGTAGTAAATCAGGTGTACGGAATTTTCGACACCAAGGAGGAACGTATGCAATAATACTTGAATAAGGTCCAAGTATTGCTTTCTCGATTCAGGAAATGGTTGGTTATACTTATGTCGAGGGAAGAAAATGTGGAAGCAGATGCACTGGCCAGTTTAGGGTTGTCCACGAAAGTTACAATATCTGATTCTGGTGCGGTAGTTCAATTGTTGCATTCGGTGTTAGACGTGAACGGATATTGTGAAGTTAACTCAACCAACCTAATTTGGGATTAGAGAAATGCGTTTATAGAATATCTAATTCATGGAAAATTTTCTGAGGACCAAAAACCATCCCAGGAACTACGGTCTACGGAAGCGCGTTACTGCCTTGTTGACGGTCAGTTATACAAGAGGTTGTTCCAAGGATCATTGGCTCCGTATTTAGGGATATCGGAGGCTGACTACGTGATGAGGGATGTTCATGAAGGAGTGTACGGGAACCATTCCGGTGCAGATTTGTTGGTTCTAGAATTGATAAGGGCAGGTTATTATTAGCCTCGGATGGAGCAGGATGCGGAAATATTTATTCAAAAAGGTGATAAATGTTAGCGTCATGCACAATTAGCACACTAACCAGCAGAACTTTTACATTCGGTGGTATCACCATGTCCATTCATGCAACGGGGGATGGACATAGTCGATCCATTACCACAAGGACCAGTAAGGTAAGATTTCTTTTGATTTTAACTGAATATTTTACTAAATGGGTTGAAGTAGGTTCTTACCAAAAGATCGTAGAATGAGAAGTGATTGATTTTATATGGGATCACATCATCTGTCAGTTTGGAGTACCAAAAGAAATTCTTTGTGACAATGGGCCATAATTCTAAGGTACCGAAGTCACAAAGTTTTTGGAAGCATTGAAGATCAAATGGATCACATCTTTACCATACCACCCAAGTGCTATTTACAAGTGGAGTCACCGAACAAGATAATAATTCAAAACCATAAAAAGAAGTTAGAAGACTCTAAAGGCAAAGGGCCAGATGAGCTACTAGGTGTATTGTGGGAAAATTGTACAATAGCGAAATCGAGTAGGGGTGAAACACCATTCTCACGTGTGTACAGTGCGGAAGATTTCATACCGGTGGAGATTGGAATTTAAACCTATGATATTCCTGAGAAAACGAGGAGACAAATACTGAAGCATTGCTGGTTAAACTGAATTTGCTTGAAGAGCATCAGAATCTGGTGTATGTGAGGATGGTGGCAAAAAAGCAAAGAATAGAAAGATATTACAACCGTAGAGCAAATCTTCGATATTTTAAAGTCTGAGATTTGATAATAAGAAATTTAACTCAGAGTACTCGAGAGGTTAATGCCGAGAAGCTGGGGCCAATGTAGGAAGGACCTAACCGAATTTCATCTATAGCTAGTAAAGGTTCATATCAGTTGGAAAATCAAGATAGTGTTGAATTGCCAAGCAATTGGAACGTGACTCAACTTAAAAGGTATTACTGCTGAAGATCCTTGCTGATACTGAAAGTATGTGCTACACTATTTTTTCCTTCATCCAGTTTTTATCCCAATTGGAATTTTTGTAAGATTTTTAATGAGGCAATAATAAAAAGCATACTACGAAGAAAGGATCATCGGCGATAGCAAAATCTCCAGTGTTCGAATTCTCATACTTAGCATCCTAACACTGGGGGGAACCATTACATACTAAGGCACTAAAAGTGTGATGAAGACCGGCGACTATTAGAATCGGGATCTATGTCTTATCAGGATTGGGGACTGCATGATCAACTCTGGAAAAATGAGTTGTACATGTTAGGCATATGTATTGGCAACTTTATTTATTTAAGCAAATAAATATTTATGTAAATGTACTTTAAAAATAGAGGGAATAAATCAAAGTCCTTTTATTTTTATCTTATTTCTTGTCCGAATGATAAGTTCATTTAACTATTCGTTTGAAAGTTAGTTAAAACTTCAAATGCTTGTGCCGGAATGAACATGAGACGTACTCTTCAAGAGCACCATAAACATAAGGGCCATCTCTTATGAAACCCTCATAGTCAAAGGGTAGATTCCAGAAGTGTGAATGCCTAACATCAAAAGCTATCGGATGAGAAAAGAACTCCCGAAGCATTGTCAATAATAAAACAAAAAGAGGAGAGTATTTTTTGCACAATACTTAAGCAAAATATTTCTTTCATAAATTAAAATGCCAAACTCAAAAAAGAATTTTTGGCATAGTTACAAAAGAAAAGAAAAATATATACATTAGTTTTTTTTTGCTGCCAGAACCCGAAAGGAGAGAAGAGTCTTTGTTCTTCTTTTCAGGAAAAGGTTGTTCTAATTTTGGTTCGAGGCCTTCATCCTTCTTGTCTTCTTCTTCGCTTCTTATTTGGTATCCTAATACTCGGAGCTAGTTTTCGAAGAGGCAGAGGCACCAGGCTGAGGAGGGAGATTCTCGAGAGCAGTCATCTCTAATTTACGAGCTTTGGGAATGAATTCCTCCATGTTTGCAATGCCTTCTCTAGCCTCTTTCAAGTTTTCCTCCTCGTGTGATAAATGTCATAGGTTTTTTCGAAGAGGAAAGAATCTTTTTGGTCTTTGAGTTTTTCTCAAAGTATTTCAATTGTTTTTTGGAGTTTATCATTTTCGGCTTTCACAATATTGATCATGGAGTCAAGTTCAGTATTGGTTATCGCATGAAGTTGGTCTTGCTCCATTGTCCTTTTGAGCCTCTCTTCTATTCTGGCTCTTTTCTCCTCGACGATATTAGCCTCTTCAATTTTTGAGCATAAGTCTGCTTTTAAGTTACTGATTTGCTCCATAAAAGCATACTCACGTTCGGCCGTAGCAGTCACGACATCATGTAGTTCATCCCACTTGGCTTTTGCTTCCTTAAGGTCTTCCTATAATTGAGTGATTTCTTGACTCCGGGCCTTTCTTGCTCGGATTGTTCTAATCTAGCTCCCATTTGAGCAATTTTTGTTTCCAGCTCCATGAGGCGCTCGACAAGCTGATTATGTTCAATCAAAAGTTGTTATTCCCTAGTAAGTTCCTGTTTATCCAAAATTAACCTTTGTTGGCCCTCGAAAGCAAGAAGGTTGGACTGAAAAGGTTAAAGTTAAGGTTATTAGTGCAAAGTATAATAAATAAAATTGGGATAGAAGAAGGTTAAATTGATACATGTGCTGAACAGTGCATGTTGTTGTTTAACAAGCACTCAGCGGAGAGAGAATCCATCTTTCTTCATTCTTTTTCCGTGGCTAGCAGCTTCAAATAGTTGGCGAACTCCACCGGCTTGGAGAGTATTGGCACTCATTCGAAACCATCAGAATGACGCTTCGTTTTCCACTGGAATTTTGGATGGGTTTTAGGTAAGTATTCATCAAATTTCCATGGCCGAGTGACCGAGAAGAAAGAACATCTTCTATCCGTTCTGGTGGGGCCGATAGAGAGGTAGAAACTGGTGTAGAAGGAGATACAGTTGTAGCAGACTTAGAAGTTGATGGCGGAGGAGGGTCATGGGTAGAACTCCTTTGATTGGAAGCAACAATGGGGATTCGAAAACGAGATGAAGTGTTTTTGATCAATCCTATTTTTGAAGAGTACTTGAACTTCTCCAGTTATGGAGTTCGATGCTCACCCGGCTGAGCATCCGGTTGAGCTGATGAAGATCTTTTTCTTATCTGAAGGGGAGTCGTTTCATCATCAGTTCCTTCATCATTAAGGACTACTGTAGTCAGTTCGGTTCATATTTCTTTCAATCTCTTCTCTGAGTC